AACCGATTCCTCCACCACCCCCAAAACCGCCGAAACCGATTCCTCCACCACCACCGCCTCCATATCCTCCAAAACCAATTCCTCCACCACCACCTCCATATCCAATATGGCCTGTAGCTTCGGCTTTTAGATCTTCGGTCTCTACAGCCTGATTACTTTCATCAGCCCAAACTGTCAATACCAGAAGACTGAGAGAAAATAGAGCGAACACCTAGAGGCAAAGAGCACAGGTATCGATATGCTACATCTTTAGAATTAATTGTTATGAATCTGTATATTCATACATATATTTTTACTGTAACCTATTATTTAAGTTATATTGGTTGAATAAAATTCAAATTCAATGATTGAATTATTGCAACATTTTAAAAGAAAGCTTAGAATAAACGTTTTATATCTTTTATAAGATATTTTGTTTGTCATTACTCCAGCTAATTACATTAAAGGTTTGATTAATATTACGTACAGTTTAAAACTGGTATTTTTAATAAGATTATTACTATTTCTGTAACAACGAAGATATTCGTTTGTAGAGATAAGAAGCTGAATAAATGTGTCTATATTTGATTAACATATCTTACCTTCTGTGAAATCATTGTTGCAGGATGCTGTCTCTGTGGATTCAGAAGCAAGTGTCTGTTCAGGAACCTTCTTGAAACTGTATTTATACAAAAGATGAGGAAGTCAACTCTATCCATAAAAACAAAAGTTTCATTTCATTTCTTTTTTAACGTGAGTCTTCTTGTTATAAACTTTTACCCTGCAAATAACAAAAATGTCAACTACATTCCTAAGTTAATATCATTATGCCATTCCCCTTTCAATAAGTTATTTAGTAATATTGCCTGGAGTATAGTAACAATATAAAACCAGGAGACAGTATAGTCGTAAAGTGGATGAAACGTTATTAACATTAGTGAACAGATTTATTCGAAACTTATTATTGGTCTAATATAAACTGACGCATATTCTGAGGCTCGAATGAACTGGTTGATTTTGTTGCTTGGTACTGCCAGTACAGTATTATTCGACACAAATAGATATATGATATTATTTATCTGTATAACATGCCACCTTAATTTAAAAAAAAATATATATATATAAAGAGACAGAAAACGGAGAACAAAAATTAAAAAAGATGATTTTTGAAACAATTACAAGATTGTCTAGAGGTGTAGAATAGCCTGAAACCTGATAATAACAATAGGTAGTTAATAAGCCGTTCATAGCAAAAATAAAATAATATAGAGAAATAGGTAACGAAGAGGGGAGGGTAAAAAAGTTAGGATGGTTTAAGTTTCGTCACAAACCTGTTCGATTCTGTATCTGTTTTACTGAAACATTGTTCACATACTTACATTAATCAAGAAAAGTTTCCTGATTGTTAGGGCTAATCATATAGAGTACGTACTGAATAAATTCATATTCTTGAACATCAGTAACCATTGTATGCTTTATATTGCTCCCGAAGAAACTTTTGAGGAAAACATTGAAACTTTAACGAGATTTTTCCTTTACGAGAAGTGTTCTGTGTGTCCGCTAGATCATACAGTTATTATATTGGGTTTGTACCGTTCTGTAGAACATGTGTGGTTGTGAATATTTTAAAACTAAGTATGGTGTGAACTTACTTCTTATAACGAACTGACGGGCAAATGATATGAATATGTTTACACTAATATCCTCCAGGCAACAATCTTTAAACTGAGGGTAGAACTCTAAGAGTCAAAACACGAATTTGCTAAATACACCTTTGAGAATCAGAGAACAGTCCTAATAGTGTCCATCCAACTCCATATTTATATATAACTCCTTGGATCAAACGTGATCCTTTTACTGTCAATGTGATCTGTGAATCTTAACATGATCTGATTAACTCAGAGAGACGGAAAACGATGTAATTATATCACTTTTCGCCACAGATTAGATGTAATCTAATCAATATAAACACAACGTATAGTGATCCTTTTACTGTCAATGTGATCTGTGAATCTTAACATGATCTGATTAACTCAGAGAGACGGAAAACGATGTAATTATATCACTTTTCGCCACAGATTAGATGTAATCTAATCAATATAAACACAACGTATAGTGATCCTTTTACTGTCAATGTGATTTGTGAATCTTAACATGATCTGATTAACTCAGAGAGACGGAAAGCGATGTAATTATATCACTTTTCGCCACAGATTAGATGTAATCTAATCAATATAAACACAACATATATCTTTGTATCAGGAACGTGAAAGAGTTAACTGTTTTGAAATAATGAGCAACAATAACAATTAAAAATCTTATATGTAAAATTAGTGTAGCTTGTCAATTTTACCTATGTATTTTAATTAAACCTAACCTATATGAAAGCCAGTGTGTGTCACGTATGTTTTGATTAAACGTATATTTTAATTAAACCTAACCTATATATAAAAGCCAGTGTGTGTCATGTATATATATATATATTATGTTTGTTTATGGGGACACCATCAGCAGATGATATGCCCCCAATTTTCACTGATAAACACCTTAATCAAAGGGCGAGCATGTTTGGTGTGACAGGATTCGAACAGATTGCGAGTCAAGCGCCATAACCACCTGGCCATGCCGGGCCCACGTATAGTTTAAAGGGTTATACATAACTGGACGTAGGTTTATTGTTGTTGTTTTTTTGTGGACTTTTAGTGACAGTAGGTTTTTGGCGTTTTTTAAACAGTAGTAATAGTCTCCCCTTGAGCCTTTCATATCTACATACTTGAGTAAGGTATTCGTCTTTTACTAAAAAAACAACTTACTAAAGGTCCGTTTATTTGAGACTGGCCAGTTCAAAAAGAAGAGACTGGATGATAGAAGTAACGAAATATCTTTCAATCGAAAATTAAAAAAGCAGGCTTCTACTGATAACACTTAATAAAAAGTAGAATTAACGAAGCAAATAAAAATGTCTCTACTGATAACACCTGGTAAAAAGTAGGTTTAACGGAATTATAACAAAAGAAGTTTTATTTCTCGTTTCTAAGAACCTGTGAGTGAAAGTAAAAATAAATGTTATGTCATTCACACTGCATTTGTTAAATCCAATTCCGACGCGATCTTTCGCTCAATACCAGAACCCTTCAAGCCTGCTGGGATCGGGTGAAGGAGGATTGCTTAATCTTCGAGCACACCAGATTAATAATTATTTCCTTCGGAAATAATTATTTTTAAATCTAAATAACTGCCAGGAAAAACCAAAAACCAACCTGCTTGGATAGAACAGAGACAGTAGTTGTCTAAATGCTGTAGGCCCGGCATGGCCAGGTGGTTAGGACGCTCGACTCGCAATCTGCGGGTCGCGGGTTCGAATCCCCGTCCCACCAAATATGCTCGCCCTTTTAGCCGTGGGGGCGTTATAATGTGACGGTCAATCCCACTATTCGTTGGTAAAAGAGTAGCCCAAGAGTTGGCGGTGGGTGGTGATGACTAGCTGCCTTCCGTCTAGTCTTAAACTGCTAAATTAGGGACGGCTTGCGCAGATAGCCCTCGTGTAGCTTTGCGCGAAATTCAAAACAAAACGAACAGTCAGAAAATAAAAAGAAAACAACAGTAATAGAAAATCGGTGTTTATTCTTTCTTACAGCATAGGTTTCTAAGCAACACAGTTTTAATAACAGCAAAAAGTCGTTTCAGTTGTGGTAAAAAAATATTGTATGCTTTTTTAAAATTCAATGAAAATTAATTTTGGACAATAAGGATCTAGATATCAGATAACAAAAGAGAGCACACGCATTAACAAAGGGTATTATGTAGAAATAGTGAGAATAAATGTGTCGATATCCATTTAAAATATATGGGAATTAAATGGGAAACAAAACATGACTACGATTAAGTGAAGGTATTCAATGTAATGTCGGGTTTAGGGTATGATTGAAAAGCCTGGTTGCTAAGACGCTCGACTCGCAAGCCGAGGGTCGCGGGATCGAAACCTGTAGCCGAACAAGCTCGCTCTTTTGGCCGTGGAGGCGATAATATGTAAATATAAAACCAACTGTTTATGAGTAAAAGAGAAGCCAAATAATTGGCGGTGGGTGATTCTAGCTGGTTGACATTCCTCTGGTCTGGAGTTCAAAATTAGAGACAGTAAGAGATAGCCTTGCCATAAACAGGTGATGGACTGTATTAACATAAACAGATTAATGCAGTCCATCACGTGTTTTACCTACATCAGCAGAAAGCTGCAAAATATATAGTGTACCCATGACAGAGATCGAACCCAACATTACAGTGTTATAAGCCCTCAACTTCTCCAATGAGCTGATGAGGTACATCTGAGGCAGTACATATATTAAGGGATTAATTTTTAATTAGTTTCCACAATTAAGACAATTAAATAAATCCATATCTTTAACAGAACTAATAATTTATCATGTGAGCCACTGAGTCCTAACATTTTCCCTCTGGAATATTTCATTGTTTAGCAGATTAAGTTTTAGTACTTCATAATTCGTTTTGACACTTTTTTTTTCATTTGCCCTTTTAAACTCGAGTCTACAAAGTTATCTGCTGTATATAAACCTATTTAGTCTGCTTATATGAAAGAACTTAGTATGAAACATAAACTAGTTTCTTTGATCCAGAAAATCGGAATAATTTTCTTGCTATTCTTTTCATTGTTTGATTTCTAAAACTAAACTATTCAAAAACATTGAAACTATTCACTCTTATTTTCCACTCGCATCGCTTAATGCACGTTTCCTGTACATAAACATATTTTGCACTGCACTTCCTCCCCCCCCCCCCCGCTACAGAGCGTTTGTAGCTTAATGGATAGCTTTGCTCTAAAACAAACGCTTCAGTTTACAAGCCTTCAACGAGTGTTAAAAACATAAACAACCGCGGCAAAATGGCCGCAGATATTTTAAATGGGGGACGGGAGAGAAGGGGTAATACTGTTATTATATTATTGGTGTGAGTCAGTCATTTATATAATCTTTCTCCTACAAGTACGTCACTTAGATAAATAATTAATAAGTATTGAACAGGTAGGTATGTAATCATCTTAAAATGTATATCAATATTAATATCGTTGGTTATGAACACAAATAAACTACTTTATAAAAACTCCCATGAGAAACTTATCGTTTTGTTCTAAAGCTAGAATACATAGATTAGTAAGAAATAAATAATGTAGTTTGCAACAAACTAACTTAGATCAAAAAGGTATAGTTTTGTTAAAAAACGACGTTAGGTCTTTACTAGCATCTTCAAGCTACAGTGAAATTCGTTTAGTATTTTCTCATAAATAGACACAAGGGAAAAGTCAATACATAACTCAATTATATTTATATTTACAATACATTGTACACTCTAAAATATATATTTATTAAATAGACAAGTTCACAACATGATCGTCCATGTTTCGTATCAGACTCTTCGTCAAGTTAATAAATTCTTCATGTAGGAAGTTCCCAATTCTTCATCAATACCGCTTCAGTCTCATAAATCCTGCAGAAAATACAACCATAAATTTTAAAATACAACAGAACATAACACACCAACAAAAACTTTGATGTATGTTGATATAACAATAATAACAATAAATGTTTCTTGTCTAAAATTCTAACACAGATCAGCGTGAAAGTTCTGTAGAAGTTTTCTATCTCACCTCTACCACCACCATTTGCCACCTCCACCACCGTATCCTCCCCGTCCTCCAAAACCTCCAAATCCACCCCTTCCACCAAAACCACCAAATCCTCCTCCTACTCCAACGCTAGCCACGCTAATAGGGATGGTAAGAAGGACCCCTCCTCCACCACCATATGCACGTACGAATTTACCTCTACCATAGCCGCCTCCACCATATCCACCTCCTCCATAGCAGCCTCCGCCATATCCACCTCCACCATATCCTGTAGCTTCAGCTTTTAGTTCATCAGCTTTGTCTGCATTTGGTTTGTCTTCAGCAAAAGCTGCCAGAAGCAGAAGACTTAGCCATGTGCTTCTAAAAATAGCCGCCCTTTTCTGTCTGGGGTTAAGTACACAGTAATGTGCTGTTAAACCTTTCTTTATATGGGATTAAGTACTTAGGAATGTTTTATTTATAACTTTCTTTATTTGGGATTACTTATATAGATATATAATACCAAAAATATCTCCTCTTTTCTATATAGTTGTTATTGCTTGTTGTTTGTTATTAAGCACAAAGCTACACAAAGGGCTATCTGTGCTCTGCCCACCACGGGTATCGAAACCCGGTTTCTAGCGTTGTAAGTCCGCCGACATACCACTGTGCTACTGGGGGGCTTGCTATTCATGATTAAGTGTACATTAATTGATGCTAAAAATCCCAGCCTTTCTCTGTAAAGTGATTAGTACCAGGAATGTGTTGAAACTTTTATGTTATTTCATTGTTAATAATCTTAGCATCCTTTGTTTCTTTGAAGTGAAATACAAAGGTACACAATGGGCTATCTGAGCTCTGCCCACCACGGGTATAGAAATCCGGTTTCTAGCGTTGTAATGTCTAGCGCAGACGTACCACTGTACCACTGGGGGGTCTTAGACTCTAATACATTCTCAAACCCTTTTTACTGAATATTGTGGAACTTGTAAGTCAGTGTAAGAGTCGTCTGTTTAATTTACTTGTTTACAAGACAGCAAAGTAGTCACAAATTTTGAAAATATTTCTATTGGAGTAAAATATACCGAACAAGATCCATCTGAATTTGAAAGAATCCTAACTTACCTTTGGAATAATTGTCATCTCTTAAAAAGAAACAGTAAATAAATTTAAGTGTTGTCTTTAAAATTTAAAATGGTTCTACTGTTGTTGTTTTTTAATTTAGTAGGAATATCAAGGTATCATTTACGTATTTACCTAGTGTATTTTTACTTCTTCTTGCTAAGGTCCTTCTGCACTAGATGTATTTGATATTAAATACGCTGCAGATTTTGGTTCTAAATATGATGAGTAAACACTCGACGTTTGAAAAACTACATCACATTTCGATAAGTTCACGTTATCGTGCAGCATGGCTGGGGAATAAATCATCACAGTTGTTTTGATTTTATTAAACCCTCAACGTTTCGCTTTACAGCTTTTTCAGGAAGTGAGAGCTTGATGTTATAAGGTCGTATATTTTTAATAATCATATATCTTCTAAACACCAATATGCACTACAGAAATTAAAGAATTGTGACTTGTTCTGTTTTGGTGGTTTTAATTAAAAAATTGTCAAGCACATCGTACACCCTCACTGTAAAATAATTAGCTCTAGCACATTATGAGGGTAAAAAAAGAATGATCCCCACGAGGAACGCTTGGCTGAACATTAAAGATTATTATACACTTCAAACTATAATTCGAAATAAATCTATTTTCCCCTTTCCACACTTTGTGTTTAACAATAAATTGACAATTAAATTTTACTCCGATTGTTGCTAATTACGCAATTAATCAACGAACTGTAGAAAATGATTTCTTACTGATTCCATATAAAGTTGTAATGCTGCTTATTTTATTCTACACAAACAAATCCGGGGTTGTTCTTTTTGCACATTAGATATAATTGTTTATCAATTAAAACTTGTTTGTTGCCGGATATATAGAGTATTATAATTATGGTTACAACGTTTCACCAGGTTGTTGTATCCAACGATACCAGGTTAAACTGGTGAAACGTTGTAACCATAAACTTTATACTCTATATATCCGACAATAAACAAGTTTTAAGTTTCACATAACACGTCACTTCCTCTAATTAAATATTCTTTATCATTGAATTAACTGTGCTGAATTAAGATATATAACGGTTTTTAATTCATTGTGGATGTGAATTTGGTGTCTATAATATACTGGCATGTTTTACTTACCAGTAGAACTCTATTTTATAGATCACAGGGACAGTTTTAGTATATATATAGACTTTTAATAAATATAAAAATACGACTATTTTTAGTTCTTGCTACAAATAAATATAATCTGAACTTAATAATTTTCTCCTCGAATCAGTTCAAATACGCTGTCTTTTGAATATATTTTAATTACCTGTTAAGCTTTAAATGCATTTTAATTTTTTATTAACCCTTCCTCGTGCGGGTAAGGGGTAAGCTTATGGATTTACAATGCCAAAATCCGGGGCTCGATTCCCCAAGGTGGAAGAGGTGCAGATAGCCCATTCCGTAGCTTTGCACGACAAAACAAAATATAAAAAACAGCCTCCTGGGCTATCAGGAGTTATTATGGGACCAGTAACTAATTATAATATGGATCTCAATGAAAAACGTATCAAAAGAAAATTTAATATTAAAGGATTACAGGTATTATTTCTAACCACAGCAACCATTGTATGGGTCGTCATTTGGTGATTTATCAATTTTACTTGGGTTCGTTTTACATTAATATATTTTAACATTGTTTACTGTACAGTCTAAAACCACTTCAGCTGCTGTGTTTCGAAAGAAAAAACAAACTATAAACACGAATATTCACTTCAAAAATTCTTTTGAACAAAATTTGACAGAGCGCTTAATTAGCGTCTATAGATCTGAATTCGTTTATTGAGATTCCTCGTAGTTGGAAGGTCTCTTGAATGTTTTGCCAACTTTTAAAGTTGTCACCAATATTGACTTGATATAATTAGAAATATTTACGTATTTATCAGAATATAACTTTCACAAAAAAATATTTCTCACTTGTGAAGGACAAAACATTTAGTTTCTGATTTCATAAGTGTTTCAACATGTATAATACGTGTTTTTAAACGTCTGTTGTTTCGGGTTATTTTCAGAAAGATATGTTTAGTGCACCAGGGGTTAAACGTACATGTTTAGTGTACAAGGGACAAACGTACATGTTTAGTGCACTAGAGACAAACGTACATAAGCACAACTAATCAAACATGATTTCTTAAATTCTTGATTCATTAGAACTCTGTGTTGTTTAAAAGCTTTTTTAGTCTACTTATTGGGATGAACTTTACAGGCCTGGTTGTTAAAGCGCTCGACTTGCAATCTTCAGCTCGGGGATTCGAATCGCCGTTATACCAAACATGGGATTTATATTGTGACTATCAGTCCCACTACTTGTTGGTAAAAGAGATCCAGGAATTATAGTTGGACAGTGAGGATTAGCTGTCTTCTCTCTAGTCTTTCACTGTTAAATTAGGTACGGCTAGAGCAGAAAGCCCTCGTGTAGCTTTGAGCTAAATGCAAAATAAATATTAAATTTTAGTTACCACCAGAGATATTAACAGCATCTGTTTCGTATATTAACTTATTTCAATATGCACTCTAGGATCGTTCCGTTAGTGCTAAAATCAGTAACAACCACAGTAAAATGGCCGCGAATATTTTAAGGGGTTTTAATACAGTTATTTAACTATTGGTGAAGTCGATCATTTTTCGTCTTTCTCGTACGTGTAATTTGTAAGTCACTTAAATAAATAGTTAATGATAAATATTGAACAGGTTTCAATATGCCAGTTATGTCGTGTGGTATGTAATTCATGTTTAAATGTATATTCATATTTACATTGTTATTTTTGAATGCAAATAACTGGCTTCATAGAAATGTATTAAGAGAAATTTAAAGCAGGAGCACAGATTGTTGAAACTTCATTTTGGTCAAAACTGTGTAATTTTGTTAAATAAGTGAATTTCTTACTATCATCTTCAGTGTATAGTGAGATTAGTTTAGTATTTTCTTATAAATTGAAAACAGGGAATATTAAATTCACAACTCAGTTTTATTTATATCTATAAAACTCTGTACACTCTAAAATATATATTTATTAAATAGACAAGTTCAGAACAAGTTCATCCGTGTTTCGTATCAGACTCTTCGTCAAGTTAATAAATTCTTCATGTAGGAAGTTCACAATTCTTCACCAGTACCGCTTCAGTCACATAAATCCTGCAGAAAATACAACCATAAATTTTAAAATACAACAGAAAATAACACACCAACAGAAACTTTGATGTATGTTGATATAATAATAGCAATAAGAAATTTTTATTGTCTAATATTCTAACATAGATCAACGTGAAAGTTTTGTAGAAGTTTTCTATCTCACCTCTACCACCACCATTTGCCACCTCCACCACCGTATCCTCCCCGTCCTCCAAAACCTCCAAATCCACCCCTTCCACCAAAACCACCAAATCCTCCTCCTACTCCAACGCTAGCCACGCTAATAGGGATAGCAAGAAGGACCCCTCCTCCACCACCATATCCTCCACCATATCCACCTCCGAATCCACCTCCACCATATCCACCTCCGCCATAGCCACCTCCGCCATATCCACCTCCACCATATCCTGTAGCTTCAGCTTTTAGATCATCAGCTTTGTCAGCATTTGGTTTGTCTTCAGCAAAAACTGCCAGAAGCAGAAGACTGAGGGAAAAGACTGTAAAAACCTGGTGGTGGAACACACAAAAATACGATACCTTATTTAATTTAATGATATTTATTACTTGAATATACTTTTCAGTCATGCAAAATATTCTTGTTCGAATAGTGTTGTAATTTGATGACATTTTATTAAAATTGAGATTTCATAGTGTTTGACTAAAATATTCGCTCTTTTATTTTGTTCAATTCAAACTTCACAAAGTATTTTGTGTTCATTCTATACACGTATGAAATATATGAAATAATATTACTAAAGTAACGTCTATCACATTCACCGTACGACATTAATCTCTATTGCCTGCTTACCTTATTGGAGTGCATTGTTGGGTCTTGCAGTGTCTTGTTTTGCCTTCAGAAAGATTTGGTGCCTTATATATATACATACACGATGTTAAGATAATTCATCCGTAACAAAGTGCAATTAATGTTTTGTTTGTGTGACAGAGAATACAGGCAGTTTTCCATTTTATTATTACAAAAAAGTAAACCTGTTTTGTATATTAAAAACTAATATAGTAGTAGCTTAAAATAAATTATAAAAAATATTGAGATAAAACAAGAAAAACATCTTATTTTTTCGGAAGAAAGTAATTTACTTGAATAAATAGAACACAATTTTGTCAGATTGACTTATGCACTTTAATATAAAATTCTGTTACAATTTTTCCAGTGGTAAATATAATCAAAATTTACTCAGACGAATCAGACCAAGTATTTACATGCTGACTTGAAGATCACTTTTGAGTTTCTTCTTTTTACGACAATAAAAGTTGCTTTGTATTTGTGGATGGGAAAAGCTGGTTGTTTTACATTTCAACAGTTTTCATAAATCTTGATGGAGGATCGGTATGTATAAAAATTATCAAAATGGTCACGTTTATGTAATTGTATCAGTCTTCAACTGTTTCTGCATTAGGATAATCCACTCAAAAAGATAAAAACCAAAATTATTTTACCTAGTTTATGCTATATTCTACCTATTAAACTTCATGTTTCTGGTCAGTAAACTCTAGGATCAATAACATTTCCCTGGTATAGGTGATCAAAAGCTGTTTAAGATTACTTAAAACAAAGAGAACACATTCTATCCAATACTGGCATCAAAACCTACAAAAAATGTAGCCCTGGCATTGCCTGGTTTTTAATACCCTCAACTCGCAACCTGCGTGTCGTAACTACTAGCTCCGTCACTAATTATGCTCGCCCTTTCAACCATGGGGCGTTACAACGTGATGCTCAATCACAATTTTCATTAGTAAAATAGTAGCCCAAGAGCTGTCGTTTGGTGCTGACTATCTGCTTTCTCTCTCTCGTTTACCACTTGTAAATTAGAGATGGTTACCACAGATAGTCATCTAGTAGCTTTCCGGAACATTCCAAAAACAAACAAACAAAACGTACGGATATTATAATTATTGTTCCTTATTATATCCAAAACAATTAAATTATATTTGGTGTAACTTTGCTTTCAAAATGTGTATATCAAAAACAACATGTTCCACAGTTTCATTTATAAAACCTAACCCATTACCTCTACTGGTGTTCCAATACATATTGTAGCTAAATACAATATATATATATATATATAAGATTTAGTCTCAGGCTGCAACTTTCTGGGAAAACCAAAGACAATGCAATTGAGAAAATGATAACTAGACTGACATCACTTGAATAATTTAACGTGTTCATATTTAGATGTGTTGCAAATGTTACTGTATAAACTATATTTTCATATGGTATTTTAAAAAAGCTATTAATATATATATATATTTATACATTCATGACAAACCTTTACATATACATTGGTGGAAAAATTATTAAATCTCCCAATTTTTCACATTTTTCTTGGTTCCTGTAATTCTTTACGAGATCGTGCATTGTGAAAGTGTCAGAACCAGTTTAAAACGGTTATGGAAATTGTACGATCTAAGCTTATTCATATTTCAGTCATCCAAACACATATGTTCTCAGAGTAAAAATTCAAAACTTAAAGATATTGCCACTAATGTAATTGGTAAAAAGTGTTCAAATAATCTGTTTATTGTTCCAATATTTGGTTGTGCTCCCTCTGGACACGATACCTTCTTGACATTGCCAAGACGTAGAGTGCACGAGGGACTGAATGTAGGCAGGGGCGAGTTCATGATGCTACATGTGGATTAGGGCTTCCTGAACTTTTCAATGTGCTTCCGGTTTCTTTTCTTGCACCTTGTTAGCCATTACCTTCAAATACAGTTGAGATCTGGGCTGTCGTGAATGATTTCTTACCGATTCCATATTAAGTTCTGTTGCCACGTAGTTTATTCTAAACTAGCTGGAGTACCCGTCCCCTGGACGGAAGTTATGTAAAGTCATGATTAATAAAAGGATATCTTAGGACTTGAATATTTTCTTCCCTTACATGTAATTGTAAAAATCGCCCATAAAACTGCGAAACAGAAAATGTGAAACCGCAAATTTGCGTATGTATCCGTATAGACCCAACAAACCTTCATGCCAAATTTGATGAAGATCCGTCAACAGGGGGAGGAAGTATCGGTGAAACACGCAAAAATGTGCCCATAAAAACCGCAAAACTGAGAATGAGTATGTATCTCCCCATGGATCAAATGAACCTCCATATCAAATTTGGTGAAGATTCATCCACATCCTGCGAAGAAGTTGCATGGACAGACGATAGACAGTACTATTAAATTCATATAGAAGTAGATACATGGACAGACGGTACTATTATATTTATATACAAGTAGTTACATGGACAGACAGTACTATTATATGTATATAGAAGTAGTTACATGGACAGACGATAGACAGTACTATTCAATTCATATAGAAGTAGTTGCATGGACAGACGATAGACAGTACTATTCAATTCATATAGAAGTAGTTACATGGACAGACGATTGACAGTACTATTCAATTCATATAGAAGTAGTTGCATAGACAGACAATAGACAGTACTATTCAATTCATATAGAAGTAGTTACATGGACAGACAGTACTATTATGTGTATTTAGAAGTAGTTACATGGACAGACAGTACTATTAAATTTATATAGAAGTAGTTACATGGACAGACAGTACTATTATATGTATATAGAAGTAGTTACATGGACAGATATACACATAATAGTACTGTCTTTCCATGTAACTACTTCTATATAAATATAATAGTACTGTCTGTCCATGTAAGTACTTCTATATAAATATAATAGTACTGTCTGTCCATGTAACTTCTTCTACATACATAATAGTACTGTCTCTCCATGTAAGTACTTCTATATACATATAACACTACTGTCTATCCATGTAACTACTTCTATATACACATAATAGTACTGTCTGTCCATGTAATTACTTCTATACAAATATAATAGTAATGTCTGTCCATGTAACTACTTCTATATACATATAATAGTACTGTCTGTCCATGTAACTACTTCTATATACACATAATAGTACTGTCTGTCCATGTAATTACTTCTATACAAATATAATAGTAATATTGAAGTAGTTACATGGACAGACAGTACTATAATATGTATATAGAAGTAGTTACTTGGACAGACAGTAGTGTAATATGTATATAGAAGTAGTTATGTGGACAGACAGTACTGTTGTATTTATATAGAAGTAGTTACATGGACAGACAGTAGTGTAATATGTATATAGAAGTAGTTACATGGACAGACAGTACTGTTATATTTATATAGATATCAATTCTTTTGCTGACAGTTTCCTGTATTTCTTGTATTATATACGATAGTGATAATACATATTTACTTTTATAAGTCCTTCGATCGACTTTAACTACATTGGCAACTTATTATAACTTGATATCTTCCTCTTAAATTATACACAAAGCTTCACAAACACTAAACTAAGCCTGAAACGAACAATATTGACAATATATTTACATTGATTTAAATTCATTTCCATAGTAAACAAATCAAGTGTTGTTCTTTTTGCACATTAGATATAATTGTTTATCAATTAAAACTTGTTTGTTGCCGGATATATACAGTATTATAATTATGGTTACAACGTCTCACCAGGTTGTTGTACCTGACGATGCCAGGTTAAACTGGTGAAACGTTGTAACCATAAACTTTATACACTATATACCCGACAATAAACAAGTTTTAAGTTTCACATAACACGTCACTTCCTCTAATTAAATATTCTTTATCATTGAATTAACTGTGCTGATTTAAGATATATAACGGTTTTTAATTCATTGTGGATGTGAATTTGGTGTCTATAATATTCTAGCATGTTTTTACTTACCAGTAGAACTCTATTTTATAGATCACAGGGACAGTTTTAGTATATATATATATATATAGTACTTTAATAAATATAAA